ACACACACACACACACACACACACACACACACACACACACACACACACACACACACACACACACACACACACACACACACACATATATATATATATATATATATATATATATATATATATATATATATCACCACGAATCCTTTATTTACTTCTGATATTGGCGGAAAATGTAGTCGAGCACCGAACCATTCCAACGGCATAAAGAAGTATGACATCGTCTTTTTGGCCAACACAGAGAATTCGGATAGTTCAAACATTTCATGCCGTCGTTTCGTTTCATGTTTTGATGCGTCATTCATATTGCGTCATTCATCATTGATGCGTACATTCATATTGCATAGCGCAACCCCGACGGGGAAAAAAACATGCAAAAGGTTAGCCGCGAAATAAAATTGTTTGTGTGTGCAAAATAAATCCACCCCACACCCCAATTCCCAACCCCTTTCGTTCAAACTAACATTATTTTCACGGTCGCCTAGCTGGCTGTAGATGCAGTCGGAAACGCTAGTAGTCCTAACTGTTGTGTGCATTAAAATAATATCTGGGCACCGATTCGTTATGTGCATCTTTATAAAATATTAATAGTATAATTTTATCGTTATATATAAAAATAACAATTTTATTAATAATTATTATATTGATGGGAATGACGAACATCATAGTTTTATGATAAAAATTTACGATTGACAATGAACCAATGAACTTACCTAATATTACATTATATAGTATTATCAGAAGTGAATAATAATAGATTAATAATATAATATAATAGATCTATTATTATTCACTCCTGATATTATATTATATTATATTATTTTTATATTTATTATGCGAGTTATGTGTTTATTTCGTATATGTGTATGTGTATGTATATATATATATATATATATATATATATATGCCTAAATGATATAACGTCAACTAACGTCGTTAACGTCTTTAATGATATAACGTCGTTGACGTGCCAGCGATCATGATAAGTGAGTAACGGAGCACGGAATGAACAGACAAGACACACAAGACAGGCCGCAGGACTCAAACTTTAAACATCCCTGATGCGATATGACGAGAGACGATTTCATCAGACACGATGTAAGCACTTACGCACGTTATATATTATATATGTCCACATTCTGTAGAAAACGTTCACGTTGCTAGCCATAGCGATCTTGATCGAATATCAACGGGGGGAAACGTAAAAGCTTCAGAAAGGAGATGTCACGCTTAATTGGTTGCTATCAATATTGATACACACGCCTTGCTGGCCTCTCTCTCCCGCCCTCTCTCATATATATATATATATATATATAGGAGAGAGAGAGAGAGAGAGAGAGAGAGAGAGAGAGAGATAAATAGATAAATAGATAGGTATAGATAGAATAGATAGATAGATAGGATAGATAGATAGATTGATTGATTGATGTTGATTGAATTGATTGATTGAATGAACTTGAAGATAGACTTGATATAAGAGATAGAGAGTGGGAGAGGGAGAGAGAAAAAGAGAAAGAAAGAGGGGCCGGTGGGACAATCTGCAGAGTTCATGTATTGATGGACATGGACAATACGTGCGTTTGACAGGTTAAACAACGCGCTCAACTACACTGGCGGTTCGCGGCATAGCACACGTAACACACGTGCGCGCGCTAGCGGGTAACAATATGTAAACAAGCGCACCCGCCACCACGATGATGTTGATACTGATGCCTGGACGTATAATGATAGACGACGATGATGATGTAGAGATGAATGATGGAAAAATTGAGATGTCTGATGATATGATGATAGCGAGCGACGAGGACGTGATGACCGCGACCATGATACGAGAATGATGAGTGTAAGGAATGACGATGACGACAATGATGACGACGACGTGATGATGAGCTGATGATGATTACGATTGCGATGACGATGCGATGATGATGATGTTATTGACAGACATGCTGTGGAGAGCAACCAGAGCACCTGCGAGCGCCGATGCCGAGGAGCGGGACTAAGGCCGGGGACGTGTACAGCTTCGCTATTATACTGCAGGAGATCACGCAGGCGGAGCGACCGTCTTAACCAGTGACCACAACGCGAGTACAAGGACATAGAGGTGCGCTCACAATCATTTATAACACGACACCCCGCCCCCACGCAACACACACACACACACCCACACACACACACACAACACACACACACACACACACAACACACCACCACAGCAACACACACACACACGACCACAAGCCACACACAGCACACACACAGAAAAATCACACACAATACCGCATTATCGGCATACACATACACACGACACCACACACACACACACACACACACACAAACACACACAACCAACACACACCACACACCACAACACACACGTCACGCAACACACACACACAGCACCAGACACACACACGATCACACGACACGTACACACACAACCACTACACACACACACACACAAAGCCACATCAACACACACCATCACACACGAGCATCACACAAACAACACATCATAATACACAGCGACAACTACCCACTACACTAACACTACATACGAGCAACACACACAACACACACCCACACACACACAACCACAGCACACACCAACTGCCACCACACTAAAACACCACACCACACATATATATATATATATATATATAGATATATATATATATATATTAGATGAGAGAGAGAAGAGAGAGAGAGAGAGAGAGAGAGAGAGGAGAGAGAGAGAGAAGAGAGAAGAGATAAGCGACGAGAGAGGGCGGGAGAGAGAGGCCAGCAAGGCGTGCTGTAATCAATATTGATGCAAGCTCAATTAAGCGAGACATCCCTTTCTAGCTTTTACGTTTACCTACCTGCGTTGATATCGATTCAGATCGCATGGCCTAGGCAACGCTGAACGTTTTCTACAGAATGGGACATATATAGATATATTAACTGACGTAAGTGCTTACATCGTGTCTGATGAACATCGTCTCTGTCATATCGCATCAGGGATGTTTTAAGAGTTTGGAGTCGCTGCGGCCTGTCTTGGGTGGTCTTGTCTGTTCATTCCGTGCTCCCGTTACTCACTATATCTGATTCGCTGCGCACGCTCAACGACGTTAATCATTAAAGACGTTAACGACGTGTAGTTGACGTTATATTCATTTAGGCATTATATTATATTAATATATATTATATATACATAACATCCAATATACGAATAAACACATACAATGCATAAATAAAATATAAAATAATTTAATGATATATATATCAGGAAGTGAAATAATAATTAGTCTATTATATTATATTATAATGCTATTATTTTCAGCTTCTGATAATACTATTATATTAATTTAGCGTAAGTCATTGTTCATTGTCAAATCGTAAATTTTTTATCATAAAACTATGATGGTTTCGTCATCATCAAAATATAATAATTATTAATAAAATTGTTATTTTTATATATAAGCGATAAATTATACTATTAATATTTGATAAAGCATGCACATACGAATCGGTGCCCAGATAGTATTTTAATGCACACAACAAGTTAGGACTACTAAGCGTTTCCGACTGACATCTAACCAGCAGCTAGGCGCGTGAAATAATGTTAGTTTGAAGCGAAGGGGTGGGAATTGGGGTTGGAGTGGATTTATTTTGGGCACCACACAGCACAATTTTATTTCGCGCTAACCTTTTGCGATGTTTTTCCCCGTTCGCGGGTTGCGGCTAATGCAATATGGAATGTACGCATCCATGATGAATGGACGCAATTGAATGAGCATCAACATGAAACGAACGACGAGCATGAAATGTTGAACTATCTGAATGTCTCTGTGTTGGCCAAAAGAACGATGTATTACTTCTTTATGCGCGGTTGGAATGGTTCGGTGTCGACTACATTTCCAAGCCAATATCAGAAGTAAATAAAAGATTCGTGGTGATATTATATATAATATATATATATTATTATATATATATTATG